ACTTATTATTTTTCAAAAAAATTAAGTAGTAGTGGATTTTAATTTGAATAAAAAGACAAGTTAACTCTTTTTAAAGTATGTCCAAGGAAATGGGTACAGGGTCTAAATAACATTCCATACTTACGGAATATTTTTCTATCTGAACCAAGTAATCAGTTTCTAGGTAAAGTAATAATACGAGTAGCTTAAATGAGAATACTGTAAACATAAATATATATATACGTATGTGTATATGTATATACATTGTGTGTACAAATATATATATATGTGATGTATTTATATTTATATACTTTTTAATTTATTTATATGAAAAATTTGAAGTCAACGTTAAAATGATAGTAGTGACAGTTTTACTTAATATGAACTATTATACTTAATAGAGAGGTTTTAAAAAGTAGGAAACTAGAACAACAAAAAATATTTTTTTTTTTATTAAAAATTTTTGTTGTTGAAGTTTACTACTTTTTAAAACCTCTCTATACATAGAATACGAAAAAAAAATTGAATTGATACAAAAAGTTTAAGTTACGTTTTCCTTTTCTTTATCTATCTTTGGTTAATTAAAATCTTAGAGATAATTTTGCTTTCTAAATCAGAAAATAAAACAAATTAATATCATCATTAATAAAAAATAAAATTTTTTTCCTAAATATAACGAAATACATTAAGAAACGGAAGTTGTCGTTAATAAATCACAAAATTAATTTGTTAATTTGCTTAAAATCACAAAAATGTGCATAAAATTAGCACAGAACTGATTTTCCCATCATTTAAATAAAAGAAAAAAACTGAATATTAAAAAAAATAATTATGACTGTTTTAATACTGTTGTTTTGCCTTGCTGTATCTTAGTAACTTCCATTGAAAATAATATCTGAAACTGTATAGTTACGAAGCACCACTGAGGCTGTGGGAAACACCTCAACACATGGACAATGCAATCTTCCTGCCCTACTCTGAACACAATGCGAAAATCAAGTTGATTCCATTCTACGCCAAGATAGTCGTAATAATATTTTGCTACTAAATTATAAACATCTAAAAAAAAACTTACTGAAACACTATCAGATACATCAGATACATCAGACTTTCATACGAACACAGACTACATATGGATTTCTGCTCAAATGTTAGAAGCTTCATTGTGCGAGTGAGCAGAGTGCCGTGTACGAAAACTTGAGACCTGATCTGCTACGTGGGAATAAGTCAGTGTTCGGCCATTTTGAATGACTTTAAGGGGTTTTTGGTCGTTTTTATCTAAGTTACGCTCTTCAACAAAGCGATTGTGGCGCAACAATTGCGGCATATATTTTCCCACCCATAATCTTAGATTCGAGTCTATTGTTTGGACAGGTAGCAGAGAGGCAGTTCAGCCTCTACAGTTGTAGGCTACAGTAAATTTTAATTTGTTTATTACAGTTTACAAGCGAACAAAAAATAAAATACTAAGTAGAACCAAATAAAAATACGTTCATGACACGAAAATCGCAAAGTCGTATAGCTTTGGTTCCTATATGGTGGGAATTTTCATTTGTGACTCAATGCAAAATTTTTAATAATCAAACGATAAAAATCAGTTACATGTAACAATCAGTTATTTAATTATAAAAATGCATCTACTAATTAATATTCTTTATTCAATTAAAAAAAAAAAAAACAATACATAATACACTTCCAAAAAACTGATTTTTGGATTTCCCTAACTTAAGAGATTTCATGGCAAAATAAAAATATAATAAAATTTTTACTTCAGGTTCCATCAAAGATTTTATACTTTTGCCAACTCTCTCTCCAAATTTTTGTTAACTGTTGTTTTTAATATTGTAGAAATCTAGTCGAAAATCTATTAGTTTCCGGAAAGTCTAGTATGTAGAATAAAGTTGGAATACAATAAATAAAATGAACAGAATAAGTACGAAATATAATGTAGGAAAGAAAGAGTATAAAAATAAGTGATAGTGATCGATGTCAGGAACAGTATATATTTAGATTTATACACTGTCTACCATATTAGTGTGACGAGGTAATAAAAGAAATTTGTTGTAGATCACAGAATAATGTGAAGCGGTGCTACGTGGCAGCTAGGACACATAGGAATTGATGGACTGAATCGTAAAGGTTCACTGTTCAGATGAAAACTTTTCCGGAAAAGTTTCTTTAGGCAGTGGTACTTATATTTCCAATAGTATTGAGATTTGATAATGATTTTATTAGAACCAAACATTACTTTAATGTAAAAATCTGGTTAGTATATAGAGACAGACACTCTGTATGGTTTATTATGATTATCTGCCGTGAAAGCTGAAACCTATTGTGCTCTCAAAATATGCATTTAAATAATATATTATTATAAATAATATGATATAAAAAATATGATTTTTTTTTTAAAGTATTTAACAATATATTTGAAAAAAATCAATAGATTAGCAAAACATTGACGAAGGACCACTACGAACTGCGAAAAATTCAAACTAACATGAATAAACTATATTTTACCGAAAACGGTAAAATAAACATAGCTTTTAATTAGAATTGTAGAAGCTGTAGTAAAAGTAAGATAAATAGACAACTGGCAAAATTAACACATTCAACTATAGATATTGATGATGTATATTCGAAAGAGAATACTTTTTATGGAATCAATTGATTATTTGAACTGATATCTTTGAATTTATATATTTCCCCCTTGTTATACTATAACTTCAAAAAATATTTTATGGTATATATAAAGCAAAAAGGTACACACTACTATGTAGGTAGGTATGTTTGGATGCTGACTCCTGTTCATCGGAAACTGATTCTTATAAGTAAAATTGGCCGTTGTGATAGCAACATGTTTTTATCAGTACTTGTAATCAGTTTTAGTGCTCAGTAAATTATTTTGTCCATGTTACTAATTCTAAGACTCTTAAAAGAACATGGCTGGAAATACTTGAGGTGTCCACTAATAGATAATGATATAATGTATTCGTGTTTGACAAATAAAGTAAAAGAGTTTAATAGTTACTTCTACCTCCTTATTTCCACAGTAGTCAGTGCAATTTATAAGACAGCGTCAAAAAATGATACCTTGATTTTTTTATCTTGGCCTCGATTCCATTATCCTTAATTTATACACCTACTTTCATTACAAATATACATCTGATTTGCAGGGCGCCAAAGGAGCACCAATCAGTTAAATTTTTTTTAAATAATTTGTGTTGTACTTCCGTTACAATAGTTTTCTCTTTTTAATCGTAGAAACAGTTATCAATTTCAATATCTAATATACCAAAATAATAATAAAATAAAAAAAAAATAATGATCATTAAAATATTAATATCAAATAATATCTAATAATATTTCTAGACTTACATGTCTAAAATATTCGGAACTTTACACAGTTCAGAAATTCTTAACTTGCTCCGACACGGTTTGAGAATGTATTTAGATATGTATGTCCAAATAGATCGGGTGGGAAAAATGTATTGGATTAAAATTTCTTATAGATGTGGTGATTTTGCAGATGTAACTATGCTTAATGCTCATGCCCAACATTACGTATTATAATGATAGATACGATCTTTAGATGGTGGTCTATTAAAAAGATACACTACTAGTTTAGCAATAAAAGAGGATTTATGAATATATGTATGTATTACAGACTGTAAACGTTACTGCATTTGGGAGGAAGAAATAGGATATAAAAACGGACAACGATAAAAGTATGCAATGTGTGAAAAAGTTATAAATGTCTGGCAAATAATCAGATGAGCATTGATAAATTAATGCAAGACACATATGTTTAGAATATATGATATGAATAAACCCCATTATTTTTTTTTCCGGTACAAGCATATTGACGAACTAGGTATATCTTTCATTCGCATTAATCTGGTCATAGTCTCCGATATGTCCCTTTTTGAGTTAATCGCAAATATACCAAAAATGGCTTTGATTCACATAAGTGTGAAGGATATAATAATAATTAGTTTAGTTATATATTACGTACAGTAGGCAGATGTCTTGCAAGTAATTGTTAAAAATCTTTATGATTGTTGCGTTGTAACCCGCGGGGTCTGGAAAGCAAATAACATGAAAGAAATCACATGACGAGTACATGTGTTAGAATGTGGATGGGTAATGGTATATGAATCTTTATGGTTTCATTCTTTCCATAACTTTTTTATGTTCGATAAATAACAGAATGCGATATGTTGTTGTTGTTACCCGCTGGGACCTGCTTCCGAAGTCATTTTGGTGTGTCGAATGGCACTTAGTCGTCGCTGGCGACGAGTGTCTCGGAGACATAGACCCAACCGTTCTTGGGACCTAGAATGCGCTAAGCGCTATGAAAATGGATCTGTATTAGATATAACTTCAAGCACTTCAAGCATTAAATAAATTAAAAGCAAAAATTTTTTTTTTTTATAAAATATTTTATTTTTTAAATTTTTTTCTCTTGTATAACATCTTTCTTTTGTCTTAATTATTTTTTGTCTTTTTTTATTATTTTTCTTTAAAATTATTTTTTTTTGTCTTTTTGTGGTATTCCATAGTAAAGCCTTACGATAATATACAAACGTATAAATACGACGTTACATTTTCTGTGTTGTATATAAATAGCTTAAATGTACATAAAATATAAATTGTATATATAAACATTATAAATAATATGTATTCATTGTGTTTCTATATAAACTTTAATTTCTTTTTAAATAAATACGTATATGTTGTTTGCTTATGTATATTTATGTACATACATAATTTGTTCTAGAAATGGTTTTCGTATAAAAGTACAACTATTTACAATAAAACGGCAAACACAATATTTCCTTAATAAGAATTTTAAAACATGCATTAAAGACATATATTTCCTATTTAAAATACATCTTGACATATATGACTTATATGACTTATATTATTTAATATGTTTTAAATATGTATAAACTTTAATGTTTGTAAAAATAGTTGAATAAATTTTAATTAAAAAATATTCTGTTGCTATATGTTTTTAAAGGAAAGTATCTTCAGGAATGAATTGGTTAATTATTATTAAAATGTGGTAAGAGAATTTTATTTACTTATTCAATTATTGCCTAAATATATGAGTAAAACATTAAACTTAAAATTAATATATGCTTTTAATGTGGTTTAAATTTAAATTGCGTTAAGTTAAATAAAATTTAGACATGACAAGAGTTTTTATAAATAATGTTTATTAACGTTCAATCCTAAGATTTATATGAATTAAATATACAACAAAACAATGCATATTGTTTCACTTCAATACTCAAACGAATTAAAAGTATGGTGTTCTCATCGTTGGACGTTATTTTTTATTGTAAGTTAATAATAAAAATCTGAAATGCAACCAAAAATCATTTCGCAATACTCAGGACAGCCCACTGCTATGCGTATTCCATTGCACTTCGGACATGGAGGGTAAAGATTGATGCATTTGATGATTGGCATTTATGTTTACTCCACTTGCATCGCTGGGCGAATGCGAAGTGGCCGAATTGTTGTTACTTATTGTTGTTATGTTATTGTTATTGTGTCGTGCCCGCATAACATCCTCGGCTTGTGTGCAATGTGGACGCGGTCCCGGTTCAGGGGTATATGTGAATGTCAGACCAGTTGCGTATATAATTCCATCATTACGAACAAGTGAGATAGGCACTTGAGTTGGCTGACGAACCTGTTAAATAATTTTATTAAAATGAAATACATATAATAACCTTTCCATTTTAATGTTGAGTGATTATACAATATATTTTTGACTCACCCACAACCATTCTCCCCGAAATTGCGAAATTTCTGGTACAACACATAGTAATGTTTCCGTACAACGGTACATTGTTTCCGCTTCAACATCGCCAAACCAGACTTGCAGATGCGGCGTAAAATTATCTCCACTTAATTCTAGCATTGCAACATCGCCACCACCATTCAAATTGAGCGAATTAACAATTGGAACAGGAGTCACAGGAGAACTATAAAAATTTAAATAAATGTATGTCAATTGAAGAAACTACAGAAAAACATACGAAACAGGTCCCATTCCTTCATAAAATTGATATTCGGCTTTATCAGTTGATATGATCGTCCAACAAGCGCCATCATTTATCATTTCTTTGTTGGGTTCTTTGGGGCAGGGTGTCGCTTGGAATTGTATAATTTTCTCCTGCGACAAACACAGGTACATGCGATCGGTATCTTTCATATAAAACGCGCACTTATGCAGTTGTGATACTGGATCATCAGCTTCAAGTAGTGCCATCTGTTTATCTACCTTACGTATAATAAGACGTGGCAGTGCCATGCCAGTCACTGAGCACACCAATTTTACTGTAGCGCCATAGTGTATGTAACCATCACGTACCTGTCATTTGAATAAAAATAACAAAGAGTTGTTGTATTTATTTACTAAGTTCGCACAGTGTTAAACGCACCTGAAACTCTTCTGACTCAGATTCATTATCGTCTAACAAGTGTATCGTAAAAGCACCCCACTGTGTGGATGACGCATGGAAATGTCCATTCTCGACATGTAGATAACGCGTAGAAACGGTTTGGGAACGCAAACGATTGAAGAGCGCTACATTCGTACCACTAGCTATGCACAAATCAGCATTTTTAAGTGATTGCTTCTTCTTGGAAGGTTTCGAGATGACTTTAATACGTTTCGAGTTGAACACTCCAATATCGTGACCGTTGCCGTAGAACATTTTTACAGAAAGCATGAAATGTTTGCGCTTGTCCGAATCGGATATAAAGAGAGTTTTGGCCGCACAATACTGTTTACCATTTAAATCGAGTTGCTGCATGTCCTGATCCGAGCTACCGATACCAATAAAAGCGCACAATTGTGCACCTTGTTCACCCTCACCTTTGCGCAGCATCTCCTCATAGCGACGACGCCAACCACTACCAAATAAATAAATACATGGAGGCGGACAGAAGAAGCGCTTTTCATTGCCATATGATTTTTGCGCAACCTAGAAGATATTAACAATTTATATAGAACAAAATGACAATATAAATATCGAATAGGAGTTCGATGTTAAATGAATAAATATTTTAACGCAATTAAATTCTTTATTATTTATGAAAATAAATTACTTAACATTTGGATAATGCATCTATTTGTTGCTTCTTAACATCTAATAACTAGCTTGTGTTTACACCTTGTGGGTTAGAAGGGGAAAAGGCCAGCATGGATCTACAGTTCTTTAAAGTACATTAATTCAGTAAATCAAATCTAACGGATCACGTAAAAATTTTAGATTTATTTTGGAATGCGTCACGTATTGCGATCTTCTTAAGGATGGGTACTAAATAAGTTTTCTTAAGAAAATTCAAAGTGGTTATCAGTCACCGTACTACATGGAAATATAACTAAAAAAAAAGTCATAATTGTGAAAAATTGATCAGTCCAAAATCAGACAGACAGCTAGAACTATCGAGTTAATACTCCAAAAAGCTATTACTATAGGAAAATCTACTGTACGGCTATGTATTACAGAATATCAATGCAGTGGATCTTCAAGTACTACAATACATATTTTCCCAACAGTCAAACAGTTTAAAATCTTTTCTGACATTTTTAATTAACTCAAACTTGATCTGGAAATGCTTACATCTTCTCTTAGCCAGAGAGAACTCTGTAACTCTAATCGAAATACAAGGTCATAAAGGTAATGAAATCACAAACAACATAACCAGACAATAGACAATGAAACATAACAGACAAGAGGCGTTGGCACTTCAAATCATTTTTCGGTGTTAATAATATTATAGTTTTAAGAACAATTCAATTCAGGAATGGAAAGAAAACAGTCTTAAAACACAAAAAAGTGAAGATCAAAACATAAAGCGCAATAAAATCAAATAAGATAGAAACAGTTAAAAAATATTATAAAAATCTACACTGAATTAATAACAATTCACTGTAAACTTAAATACTATCCTTATGGAAAGCTGCAAAGAAATGTGTGACGACTATAATAAACTATGACGTAGTTTCAATTTATATATATTTAGACGACAAAGAGATCTTTAGACTCCTTGAGAAAAATTAGAAAACCGCAGAGCACATACCCATATGCGGCTGCTATTAGAACTAATATTTTGGGGTTGTGACTTTATACCCTGAAAACAGAACTGAATTGACTCAAATAGAAGGGTGGATATTAAATGTTTTAAGGTCGTAATCCACAAATAATCTTATTTATAATAATAATATATTAAAAACAATTATATGGTATATATATCGACTTCAACAATTAAAAAATTTTAATAACATTATTTTATATATTATTAAATCATATTATATTATATTAAAGAGTGTACAATGATTCGATATATTGCTATCATCCAAAAATGTTCACATTTATGATATGTATTCATGGTTCTATGAATGATATGTATTCTATAAAAAATGCGATCATTTGAAGCTAGTATAAGTACAAAGTTGAAAGTAGTGGTAACACTATTACGTATTTTATGGGTAGTATTTAGAGGTTAGAAGTTAGAAGTCAGGGTTGAAATGAAAATTTATGCACAAGACTTAGTTAATTACATAGTTTTCATATTATATACTAGATATTTATAAAAATAATTATTTTTTAATGCACCATATAGATTTCCATGTCTTTTTCTCATTATTAAGCCAGCGATTGTAAGGTTAATAGTCACTTAAAACGATCATTTTCGATATCAAAAACAATACGGAATAAAAACATAAGTTTACGGGGTTGATTTTAAATAATTTTCATGATAAATAACTCATGTATTGACATATGGCATTAGAAAAATTATAATTATACCTCCCTTGATTAGAGTTATACTTATTTGAAAAAGAATTCAAGAAAGTTTACTAATGGTTTTATTATCGTGCTATGTAATAATATTAAATTGTGTTGATATAGTAACTGAGACACAATTTTTTTTTTTAATAAAAAAAAACAAATTTTTATATGTTAACCTCTTGATAATAAAAAAAATCGGAAATACTAGATATTAACAATTACAATATAAAAACATTTTAAATCATTTAAATAATTTTAAATTATAAGGAATCCTAAGCAATTAAACTATGAAACATTAGTGTTATTTCAGTTATTTTGATACGATTGATAATTATAATGAAGATTTCTTTTTATGTTATTTAAAATAAGGAAAAAATATTAACATATAGTTTGTCTAACAAAATTGTATAGTATTACCTTACAACGTGATGTAATAAAATTTAATCTAAAAATTAAAAACTACTGCCAATCAGTGCACATTCCTAATAATATCAAACAAATCTGTCGATATAAGGCTTGAGGTGATTGAAGCTATTACGATCAAATTGCAGTCAGCGATATTCATATCAGACATTAACAATCTCTCGCTGATAAATGCATCTTTTCTGAATATGCGCCCTAAGTGCAGCCTTATATGACGTTGCTCCCTTACTCTCTCACACTCTCTCTCTTAAAACACCCAATCGGAGGTGTAAGTTTGGTATCACGGGTGTCAGGGAGCACAGCTTCGGTAGTGTAGACCAATGGAGATGACTCCTTAAAAGGAAGAGTCGTGGTAGCTGTGGTTAAAACCCAAACATATGCGGCTGCAATGACTTCAGCCGTGTATATTTAGTTACTTTCATTCGATGTGGAATCGCATCTTCCTACCCAAAGTTGCTGTGACCCAAAGACCAGCAGAGCTATTAGATAGGTCTCGTTCCTCACTAAGAACGAAGCTATATCTAAATGTTTAGTTTCAATTGGTACTGACGAAATTCTTTGAAGTTCTAATGGGGCGGTTATCAGTGCACTATAACATTACGTGTTAAGCATTGGGATGTTAGGTCTTTATGGCAGGTTATCACGTTAAATAACTCTGTAGTTCTCTGTAGTTTTGTTCTCACACTATTAAGACATGATTACTAGTTTATATCTTACGTAAACCCATATAACAAAATTTTTTACTTATTCCCTAAAATTTCTCAAATAGAACAAGTTTTAAAAAATTATCAAAATACAAAGATCTCTACTTATTAGGACTAAATTTTTTTATGAAGGTAGAACCTTGTAGTAATACTACCTTTAATTGTAAATTGTTTTAGAGCTTAAAATAAAATATTAAAAAAATATTAAATGAACCACTATTTTTAGAAAAATAGTTCTAAAAATGATAGACCACGCAAAATAATATTTATAGTAGACAAAGGCATAACATATTCCTAAAATCTCAATCGGTTCAACAAAAGTGCTGACGAGTCAGATTAATAACTTGTTTACCTAATGTAATGAATGAATGAATGAATAACGGGTCCAGATAGGAACAAGTAAAATGTAATAAAAAGGGGTAACATTTGGTTTCTTTTAGAAATTAAAAAAAATTTTAAAAAATAAATATAAAAAAATATATATATATTAAAATATATTTATAAGAATATATATATAAAAATATATTTATAAAAATATATATATAAAAATATATATATAAAAATATATTTATAAAAATATATATATAAAAATATATTTATAAAAATATATTAAACAAAAAATATAAAAATAATATATAAAAAAAAATAAAAAATATTAAAACATTAAAATATCAAAAAAAAAAAATAAACATATACAAAAAAATTGGTCTGTATCCTTTAATAGTCCAAAAGAACACAGAAATATTTCAAAAAATGTTTCAAAGAATTGTACTTCAAATGTAAAAGAAAGTACCACGTCAGTCGGGGCGTTTCATTATCTCTGCTTGAATGGTATGATTGACTGGCTGTGTCAATTCTGATTGTATTGGGACAGTATTGCTGTAAACTTTCAAAGAGTGATATTTAGAAAGAGTGTGAGATCAAAAAAAAGATTATTGTCTGATATGAAATCCCCACATTTGAAAAGAAAAAAAATATATATAAAAATGTTTGTATTCAAGGTACCAGAAATCTGGTCACTGGTAGCTATATGCAGGTCATCTTCATTCCAACACTTTCAATTTCTTATTGCTATGAAAGGTCGATTGTATTTGATGATCCTGGTTGGGACTCAAGACGAGATACATTAACAGGAACAATAAAGCTCATGATATTGCATTAAATGTTGTTAAAAACGATAATTGATTGTAAAAATTAAAAAAGTTTTAAATATGTCTGTGTACCGCAAATTCATTAAATGGACACATGAAGGAAGTAATTTAGTTAGTTCGATCGAAGGTGTTTTAAAGAACTAGTCACCAAAATATAATATTTTATTCAATTTTCATATTTCGCGGTTTATATGAAATAAATTAAAAAAATAATCCATTGTGATCGAATTACCTATAGCAAATGAAAAAAAGCAGTAAAAAACCGTACATATACAATGTGGAAGCAAAAAGTATATTTGGTTAAAATCAAATTGAAACTATTTTATAGATTGCTGTAATGCTGCGGTTGAAAGTGTCTCGAGTATCTTGACGTCTGTCTATAAGACGACCAGTGACCAATTGCGGTGTTGCAACAGCGGGAAACATTCTTGTTAGTTTCTGAATTTGAAATAACTTTGTACCGCCAAATGAGTTGGCATTTTAATTGTCGTTGGTGTTATCGCAGCTGAAGTTGTTATCGCTAGCGATGCAGCCTTTGTTGCGGCCACATCCTTCACACTTCACTGAGTCCAAATTACAAAAACGCAGACTGAAGCGTGTTGACAATGGCAGTACGAGTGCCGTCGCACTACAGCACCGTAGTACCGTAGCGCCGTAGCACCGCCGGTATATTCACAGTAGGAAACTACTAACTAAAGTAATTGTATTTAATTAAAGAAAATTAACATTAAAATTTATTTAATTTAATCACATAAAACGCCAACAGAAAATATAATAAAAAAATATGTTTGATTGATTTTGGTTGCAATTTGCAATGCAATTCAAATGTCGTTAATTGCTGTTTGTGGTTATTTGTGTTGCGATTGAATTGGATTTTGTCAGATTTGGTAATTAGGCGTGACACATCATG